ATCAAATGCTTTTTCTGCATCTATGTGGTTTTTTTCCTTTTGTTGATTTGCATATGTTGAACCATTCTTGTGACCCTGGAATGAATCCAACTTGATCGTGGTGTGTGATGATTTTTATGTCTCATTTGATTTGATTTGCTAATGTATTTTTAAGGATTTTTACTTCTATATTTCTCAAAGATAATGTTTTTTTTCCTGTTTTAAAACTCATGGCAAACAACCCCAATCTCTGCCTCCTAGTTTCTTCTGATTGAATAACTTCAATATTTTTAAGATTACTCCAAAGTGAGGTGAAGAATTTAAGTAAGATCAGAAGATGAGATGATCAAATTCCATCAATTCCTTCTTTAAGATTTTGTGATTATGCTCAGTGGAGTGAACGCAATTATTTGTTCTTCTAAATAAGATTTGCTGATGTACTTTGCCTTTTCTACAAATATTCTCCTACAAACACTTCAAGTTTATTCCAGTAGCAAATATACCTATTGTTGTGTGGTCTCTATTCTTGTCCTTACAGGATGCTCAGTTAAGAAGGTAAGTTAAATACTCTAAAATAACTCCTTTGATACAACTAAATTTCTTGATCCTTGGAGTCTTTATTGATTGTGTTTTTTTCTTCATTTTTTCACATCACCACATCCTGCCTATTCCTCTTTATCCTCAGATTTGCTTTTTTGGAGAGTATCCAGAATACCACCCTTCATCTCATCACCTCACACATGGACTATGGCAACAACCCCTCAGCTGGTCTCCCTGACACCACTTTTCCCCTCCATCTAATTCTTCTTACCAGATATATGTTCCAGAGATTCTCCCAGCTTTATTTTTTTTTTTATTATGCACTCACACAGACTTCTGCTCTTGCTAGCTGAATTTGCTTATCAGCTAAATAATATTTACTTATCTTCCCCTCAGTCTTTATATGTGCTATCCTGCACATTTGGGAAATTGCCTTTTTTCACTTCTTATTCCCTCTATTCCAAATTTACCTCTTGCACAGTTGAAGACTGAATCACCCCACCTCACTTATCAGCACTACATGTATATTATTAATTTTTCTACTTGGACTGTATTTTGCAAATACCCTTTTCTTCCTGCATTTGATGTGTAAACTAATTGAGAACAGGGACTTCAGTTTTTTTATTTTATTTATTTATTTTTTCACCCCAGGAATACAAACTTGATTTAATTTAAGGTGATATGACATTCCACCTTATTAGACTATGGGAGAAAATCATGTTAAGAAAAAGTAAGTAGTGTCAATATTTTAAAAAAAAACATTTCAATGTATGACAAAAACTACTGTAATGATGTAAAGTAATTAGCCTCCAACTAATAAAAATAAATGGAAAAAAATAAAAATAAAATAAAATAAAATTAAATTGATCAATTAAAAAAGAAGAAAAAAAATTCTGTTTTACTTTTTGTAGTGGACAGTACATGGTGGGCACAATTGACTTTACTAATATCTGGAGAAATGTGCTTGATTAACTAGCAGTGAGCATTTGGAAAGATAAATTTTGATGGTTGCAGGTGATTTTACAAGTTCTGATCTCACAATAATTAAATAGAGTGCTGAATAACCTTCTTAAATTGCCTATGGTTAATTTTAGTTCTAAAAAAGACAAATTTGATATGAAAGAGTTTTAAGTGAATTACTGCTTATCAAGCAGCACTATACATTCAAGAGTGCCTTAATGCTCAACACTGTGACCTCCTATCAAACATCTTAGAACAAAAATGCATGAGTAATAAAGCAATTTGAGTCAGATAGTTTTCAACATTAGATTCTCTCCCAGAAAAGAGCAACAATTTCAAGTATTCAAACTTAACTGAACACTATGAAACTGTTTTCTGTCTTAACTTCACTCTGATTTTATCAGATCACTACTTCACCTTGGGAAATGTGTACAAGGAGTGTAAAGATTTATACGTGCAATTTTCAGGGTATTTCCCCCAGTCATTATTTAATTTTCTAGAAAATGCTTGGTGAAAGCCAACCAATTTATTTAAAAATAAAAACCTCTGGTTTTAAGCATTAGCTGCTCTTTGGCATTTTATTTTTAAATAAATTAGTTGACTTTCACCTAAGCCCTTCAAACCACCAAGTGTGTTAGGGAATGTCCTCCTTTTTCTTGCCATAATTTCCTTCCTTCTCACAAACCATTTTCTATATTGTTACAGAGTTATAGGATACTACTCATTTCCAAGTCCTCTTGAAAATCCTCTATAAATTTCTTTCATAACAGAATTTTTTTTCCTCTCACTGAAGCCTACTTCCTACTTTTAAGTCCTTCTATGTTGGCCACAGATCTGCAACAAAATACAACTTTTCATGTGATACTACCTTGGTTGTATCTTACCAGAAGCCCCAAGTGTCATTTTACCTATTTTTTAATGAAAGTGATTGAATGCAGAACATATTTGGATCTAATTCAATTAAGGTTTAGAGGGGATGAGGAAAGAGACCTTAAATTTCAAGAACCATCCAACTACCTTTCAGAATCTCCATAGTCATATTGGAGAACATAGATTGCCAAACCTGCCAAATATCATCCTTTGTTAAATTGTAACAATGTACCTGTTGTCCATCACCCTGGGCATTGCTTATTATTAATGCAGTTTTCATTTCCTATGTATCTATTGTTTTCATGCATTTCTCATTTGTCTAATAATTTGTGACATTTTCAGAATTTTCACCTTAAAATAGCCTCAGTTTTAAAAATATGTATACTGTTGAAGGATGAGCTTTATAAATTTGTTATGAATGTATAGAAACTAGTTTCAGCAGTATTTTTCTAAATTTCCAAAATCCATTTCAGTGAGAAACTGTGAAGAAAATGTTTCCCACTGTGAAAGCAACTGGAAGAATGCATCATGTTCTAGACTAAATACGTATTATGCTCATACAGGTTATATCTTTTAAAAATTCTCGGATGAAAATTGAATTTTGAATTGCCATCTAGAAATAAATTTTTATAGATAGTGTACACATTGGTTCCTGAAAATGGTAGAAAAGGTTTCTTGTCAAGTTCCCTAACACAAGTGTGAATGCTCTGTTTTTGAGTACCTACTTGTAGTGAAAGGACACATTGTGGCCAGCCAACTCAAATTGCTACCCACGTTTAATCATTGTAAATAAAGGAAGCAGAGAGACCCATGTTATATTTTCAGAACTGGCATGCTCAATACAGAACTATTAGTTTAAAAATACCACTGAACGTTCTATTTGAATTAATCTAGACTTCTGTGAAAAACAAAATAATAAAAAGTACAATTGGTCACTTAAGCATATACTATTTCATGCAGGTTATTAACTTAGTAACTATACATATTATTAAAGAACAATGAGAGTAAATACAACTTTATAACACTTGGCAAACAGTTCAGAATTGATAAATTTCCATTTTGAAATACCTGTAGTTTCTACAGAAGCAAAATCACCTTTCTCAGTGGAAAAAAATGTATCTATGAAACACCTATGTGTTGAGCATTACTTTTTAAAGGAGCAACTAATTATCCCAGTGTGAAATGAACATGAATCACTGCTAAAGTTTCATATACTGTTTGTGCATAATGGATTTTCCCAGCATCTGGATATAGAAAAGCAACAGAAAAACAAGTACTTTGAACAAAACCCATGGATTATAGGGAATCAATCATATAAAGAGGTTGAAATAAAACATATTATCTAATGTTCTCTTAAACATTTGTGTTTCACAGTTACCAGGACTGGGAAAATTCTTAATTTTTACACACTGTGTACACTTGTCCTTGTTTATATTTGCCCCCAAACATGATTTAAGAACCATATGCAAAATGCCAGAATGAACCTTAATTAATTGACCCCCACAGTAATCTTTGTGGATAGCACACCAAAGTTCATTGGAAATAGCACAAAGAAGTAATTCACAATAAATACTAGAATAGGGGCACATTCCTTACAGCAAATTCATAAGATTTTAGAATATTCACAGGGATTTTCTGATATGGTACAGTCACAATATGAGGGTGAAGAAGTTTAGTCTATAAAATATACTCTTTGAAGCACCAAGAATAGAGATACTTCTGAAGGAGCCTTGCACACATGGCCAAGTAGATATTGTGTATGTACAAAACAGTTTGTTTCACAACTACATTTCAGGTGAGAATCACGCAATTGCTTCTCTACCACTAGTAAACTTGAATCATTTAGCACTTCATCTGTGAATATTGTTGTGTCACTTCTTTTCTACTGCTGACACTTGCAGTCAATACTTAAATTCAGACTCCAATGGTGTTGCCCAAAAGGAAGATGTGAGCATCTTCATGTAAAACTTATAGCAAACCAAGAGATCATTTGGAAAAAGTCCAAATCTGAATTTGTTAGCAAACAATAAAATGCTTGACTTAAAATGTGTTTTCAAATTTGTAAAACTTTGTTAATAGGGTAAAAAGCTGTAAGGTTTGTTCAACATCATCCTAAAAGAGCTAACAGCTTATCTATACATTTACTTAAGAAATGCACGTTGTTTACCTACCTACCAGTTTGCCTGCAGAAAATGTGCTTGCCTAATAAAACTAAAAGCTGTCATCATGCACTGTTGATTTAGTATACAGAAGTTGTCCATTATGTTGAAGAAGTTCTAAATGTATCAACCACATTTTTTTCTTAACTGATCTTCCTCTACATACAATCTTGCAATTGGGATGTCTCAACACTTCTTTCTTGATAATTCCTGATTTTCAGTTACTCTATAGAAGTTCTCGTTTCCTCTTAAACTTAGTTAGAATTTTCAAATTCAATTAAAGTCTTTAAGTTTTCCTTCTTTCAAATACTATGTGAATACTGAAATATTCATAAATATGGGGAACATAGCTTACCTACCAAACTTGCAGTCTAAGTAGTATCATAAAATCTACTCTAAAACAATAGAATTTAAAATTGTTTTCTTTTAAGGAAGAAATAAAAACTGTACATTGGAACAAGGAACTATACTACAAAAGCAGGTCCTTCTATCCCCCCACTATTGTGGAAATGTGAACAAAATTTAGATACAAAAGTGATTTCTGTGTGGTTTTCTTTGAACACTTTTTCAGCACCTCAACGTTACTAGGTGTACTTTTTGCTTGGTATAGGAGAAATTTTGTGTGCACACATAGCTGTTCAGAGGACCTCAGATTTTCCACTACCAAATATCACTGGTGAAGCTAAGCTCTTTGGGTGACAAAGGTAGCAGGGAACTGTTCCTATGATCAGTATCTTTCAGGGCATTGTTAAGGGGTAGCTGCCCATTGAGTAGTGTCAGAGGCAGGTTACAGTAAGTGTGGTGGTTGCCTAAGGAAGGCACTGGCAAGGTGGTGCTTGGCATCTCCTGTTTATAACCTCTGCAGCAATGCCTCGTTTGCATTGAATCTGAATGGTGGAAATCTGGGAGATCAGCTTGAGATGACACCAGAGAGGCCGAGGTACTGGTCATGGCAATAGAGGGTATAGGCTGGAGCTCTCCAAAAAGTCCTTGTTCTGCTGAGTCCAGAACATGGCACTGAGAAAGCATTTCTTTTTTCTTGGTGGGCATTTCATATATTAAGTGCTTCCAAAACTTTGAATTTAATTTGCTGCTCTTGGGTCCCTTCCACTTGATCAGGGACAGAAATTTGATGCTGCGTTTTAGTGATTCCACCTCCTGGCAATTCACCTTTCCTTTTAATTCTGTACATTCAATCAAAATCACTTTGATTTCTCCACTGACTAGCATGTTATGGAGTCTGCTTTCCAATTCGAAAATACTCCATCCTCGTCTGAGAATATAGTCTGGAGTTAGCACGATAATAAGTCTTCTGCTTTGCTCAACATATCTTGTGAGATCTTCAACGTAGGCTACAAATCACAGAAAGAGAGAAAGAGTAAAACAAAGACATTTCTAGTCTTTTAAGCAGTAGGTTTGCATTCTAGTATAGCAAAGACCCAGTCTTTCACTAAGGTACATCACCTTTTCTTTTCTTGTATTGTACACTCAGAAAGCTCAATGCCTTAAAAAAAAAAAAATTCTAATACATTTATTTCCCCTCACCATTACTTACAGTGTTTTAGCTAATATAAACTGACTTCTTCAGAGCTTAGGTGTATTTCAGTTATTTTTATTTACTGAATCATTTAATTCCAGACAAGCCTTCAGGCTAGTACTCTAAGTGAGCAATCAGCGGGTTGATGAAGAGAGAAATGGAGCCTTTTAATGAAGGTCACTATATTTATGGGTTTGGTTTGCTTTTCTTCCAGTTTCCAACTACTAAACAAGTAGGGGGGTCTATGTACATAATTTATATATATTACATTATACTTCAAAGATAATTATGAGAGAGATGGTGAAAAATCTCTTCTAAAATCATAGCTTGTTTCTCAGAATATCTTCTGTTATTTGCAACCTTAGGTTCTCTATTTTGTTCTTCAAACCTGGAGATAGGGAAGTGGTGTGCGTGTGCCCATGAGTTTAATTTGAACCAGCTGCTCTTTGTTTAGAGAAGGATTGAGGGGTGGAGTTGGAGAATGGGGGATGGTGTGGAATGAACAGTATAAGAGGAGGAGTCTATCAACTGAGAAGTCTTTGCTCTACTTTGTGGGAAAATTCTGAAAGTAAGGTGAATAAGTTATGGTCTTTTCCTAGTAGAAAAGCACTCAACTAACTCTAGGTTTGTTTATCCCATGGAATAATCCTTTTGCAACCAGGCTTCCCAAAGCCTTATCCGCCAAAAAGGGAAACACACACATGTGTTAACAAATGGAGACTTGGACACAGGTGCTGTAACAGTGAGCTGCCTTTACTAAGCAGAGCACAAGGCCTTGTCTAATGTACAGTGCCCTCTAGCAGAAGCAGTGCTTACAGAAGCATAGCAACATTTGTCACTACAGATCTGCCCAAGGTTACAGACTGCTTTCAGGGTGTCACGTCCAGTACATAGTGTGGGGCCACCAAGCAGCTCAGTACAAGTCATTTGAAAAGAGAAACTTATTTTACAAATGCATATTTTTACAGATGATTTCTCTTTCCCAGGGTTTTATTTCTACCGTTTGGCAGCAAGAACACTTTCACAAGTGAAAAAGAGCAAACTCTCTCTACACCCTACAGATAAACAACTTTTTGAGAGGTACACAGAGAATTGCCCATTTAACAAATTGTTAACTGCTGTTTTGCTTTTTACTTAATGCATTTCAGTACTTTCTCATGCACTAGTTACAGAGACTGTATCTGAGGTGATAAGGCAACTTCTAAGTGGGGAGGGAACCCTTTAAGAATTTTATTAAAATTAACCCCTTCAGAATTTTATTTTAGAGATTACATTTAAAATAAACAGCATTGAAATCTGCAAAAAGTAAAAAAGAAGACAAAAACACCACACAAATAACAATGGGGAATTTATCACTGTCATTTAGAGAACTGGTGAAACAGAATGGAAGGAAAGGTAGAAAGTTTCAATAGAGTGGAAAAATATTATCCCAATGTATCAACAGCTCTGACTCTTCATTTTCTTCCTTTCTTTCTGCTCCCAAAAAGAAAGAAGTTATGTGGGAAGCTTCATCATTAGAAGTTGAATCTGTAAGATACAGTAAAATAAACTATCATGCATCTTTCCCATTATTCTTTTCACCTTTCCTCCAAACAAAACAAAAACCCAAGCCAGAATCATGGTATAAATTCAGGAGTCCATGAAAACACACTTTTACCAGATTATGTATGAGTTAATTGTTATTTTTACAGAAGAATTCTTTACAAAATGATTTACTGAGGGGTTATCCCAAGTAGTATTCTTCCCTCATTAATTGTTGCTTTACATTTAATTCTTAAAAATTTTATCTGTACAAACTTTGTCATGAGCACATTTGTCACAGAAATGATACCTATATGAACAACACTATTTCTATGTGTTGGGATGTAGCTTAATTTACTTTTTAACTATACTTTAAAAAACAAAAGGTACAGCTATACAGATTTCTATCTACTTAAAGAAAATGATAACTCAAGTCTTCACAGTTATAAGAGAAACAGTACACACACACACTAATAAATTTGATTGGGATGTCATAGGCTTTGACTTTGGGCTTCCCAGGTGGCTAGTGGTAAAGAACCTGCCTGTCAATGCAGGAGACACAAGAGATGGGGGTTCAATCCCTGGTCAGGAAGATCCCCTAGAGAAGGAAACGGCAACCTACTCTAGTATTCTTGCCTGGACAATCCCATGGACAGAGGAGCCTGGGGGGCTATGGCCCATGTCCCCAGAAATGACTGAGCACACTCGTACACACACACAGGCTTTGACTTTATTATCCTTTTTCTCTATTGGGGGAGGGAACAAGATACAATTTTTGCCCCATTAATATGGTTCTCCCCCTTTACTTGTCTATTATACTTTGCTATTTGACAGTTAAGCAGAATGCAACATTGAGGGTTTGAGGGGCTTCTTAGAGATTAATTAGGCAGAATTTGCATTTGCCCTCAGAGGGAATGCCTGTCAAGACGAATCCCACTACACTCAGCTGCACGGGCTGTGAGCATTGAAGGGAGCCTTGGAGAGAGGGAGTGGTCCCTTTCTCCAGCATACTACACTGGCTCTGCTTATCCTGGCAAAGCCTAGTGGAGAGTTGAGGCAACCATCCAGATAATTCCAGCTGAAAACCTGCTCTGGAAGAAAAAAAGGTCTGAATTATCCTGGTTTGCCCTATATATACATTAATCATATGCACTGGAGTCAGTCAGTCAGTACATCTAAATTTTCCCTGGGTAGATACAGCCCAAGTGTCCCAAGGAAAACACAAGCCACTTTCTTGGGCCCCGAATTTCGTGTTCCATTTCACTTGGTGAAAAACCAAGTGGAAGTTTTCAGATGTGAAGCCCACATTTCACTTCTTGGGATGCTGATCAGTGGCTGGGCAGCAATCTCAATATTTGAAAGCAGTTGGGGAGGTGCCTCTAAGAGCTGTCTGGCTCTAAGGAAAAGAAGGAGAAACTGGGCCCTCACTTCCATATTCTGGCTGGCTCTCTCTGTTTTTCTCTCTATGTTTTTTCTTGTTCTCACCCCTTTGCTCCTCTTTCTTTCTCCCTTTCATTTTTGTTCTTTCCCTCTCCTCTCTCTCCTGTCCTTTTATCTCCCTCTTTGCTTTCTTTCTCACTTCCCCTTCTTACTCTCCCTTCCTCTTTTGCTTACCTCTCGTTGCCCTGTTTCCCTTCCTTCCTAAATTTTTGCTTTCTGTATCTTTGTCTTTGGGAAAAACAAACAAGGAACTAGACATCATGAAAGGAATACGAAATTAGCAAGGGACCCAACAGGTAGAGTTAACAATATTTTTTGCTTGCTAATCTTTATCCAGGGAGTTGTTGCTGGCTCCTATGCAGCAAGTGCACCAAAGAATTTTCCCTAAGCCCTGGAGCTGCATGTCTGCATCCGATGACTGAATTGGAGCCTGATCCATTAGGACCATGTCCTGTTTTTGTATGGCTTGTGAGCTCAGAATGATTTTTAAAAACATTTTACAGGGTTTAAAAAATAAGATTATGCAACAGAGACCATATATGACCCACAAAGCCTAAAATATTTCTTCTCTGAACCTTTACAGAGAAAGGTTGCCACCCCTAAATTAGAGACCAATCAGGATGTTTAGGTTTGGAAAAGTTCCAAATAAACTAAGCAGAAAACAGGTATCAAATTAAGGCATTGCTGGTCCACAGCTAGAGTGGTCCCTGACAGGCAGTGGTGTTTGCCGTGGTAGGGCTGTGGTTTTGTGTGAGACATATTAGAATCCTTCTGGAGCCATTTTTAAAAGTTTCTTACCATGAAGAGATAATTTTTTTTTAAATTCCTAAATTTGCAGCACACATGAATACTTACTAAATCTTGCCCTGACTTGTTCAGGCAAGTTTAGCAACCAAGTAGCAGGAATCCCTTAAAAGACTATTTTTTCCACATAAAAATATAAAACATCCCTTAGATGAAAGGACATTAAGTTATTTCTTTACAAATTTTGAAATAACAATAACAGAGTGAACTATGGGTGGTTGTGTCTGACAGCCTTCTGCTTAAACAATGCTATGAAACTACACTAGATATGAAACAAAGCTATTACACTTAACCTATTTGTGATCTTCACAATTTTGTAAAGAAAAAAAAGGCAGTTGTATAAACCAAAATTCCAGTGTATTTAAAAAAGTAGCATTCAATCTACAAAAGTGACTTGAAAACAAGACACTTATAATCAAAGCAAAAAAGTAAACTGAAAGAAGAAATAAAAGTACGAAATAGAATCAGGAAGAATATAACGGCAGCCCCAAGAAGTTTCTTCTAATGGGGTGTGTATACTTTCCCCAAAGATCTCAGAACTCCTAAATGCCAGGCTTTAAATCTACTGTGGATATAGGCAGAAGCACAAGAAGAAATCACTCTTATGCATAAATTTCTATGTGGTCTTGCTACTACCTACTAACCATTTGATTTATCAAACTAATTACTTATGAATTATTTTTGTGTTGACACTGCTGCTTATGTCAGAATCATTATCAGGGGTAGTAGGCATATTAAAAATTAAAAGACAAGTACTTTGTCTGTAGGTAAAAGCATAATTTATTACTTTGTCAGGTTCAAATAATAGAATCTTGGTAGGCTTATACTCACAGCTATGTATATCCAAAATCAGTTAAACAGACAAATCATTAGGGTGAGATAGTATGTGTCAAAATTGATAATATTCTACTAATTTTAGCGAATATTACATAACAAATAGCCATCAGCAATTATATTTATTAAACCTATAGTTTCATATATCAAAACTTAAAAACAAGATGGTTTCTGACTGTGATTGAGATGGATCTACTCCTATAACTGGTGGGGAGA